ACGGGGTAGGTTGTCACTATAATAAGGTAGGACGGGGTAGGTTGTCACTATAATAAGGTAGGACGGGGTAGGTTGTCACTGTAATAAGGTAGAACGGGGTAGGTTGTCACTGTAATAAGGTAGGACGGGTAGGTTGTCACTATAATAAGGTAGGACATATATAGATGTGGACATAAAGCCGCTATAACGAGGGAATATACATATATAGGCGTGGACATAAAGTCGCTATAACAAGGGGATTGACATATATAGGCGTGGACATAAAGTCGCTATAACAAGGGGATAGACCTATATAGGCGTGGACATAAAGTCGCTATAACAAGGGGATTGACATATATAGGCGTGGACATAAAGTCGCTATAACAAGGGGATTTACATATATAGGCGTGGACATAAAGTCGCTATAACGAGGGGATAGACATATATAGGCGTGGACATAAAGACGCTATAACGAGGGGATAGACATATATAGGCGTGGACATAAAGTGGCTATAACGAGGGGATAGACATATATAGGCGTGGACATAAAGTCGCTATAACGAGGGGATAGACAATATCATCCAACCAATTACTTTCAGATATAAGAGCTAGAAGATTTTTTTTCATAAAAATGAACATACAAATGACTTCAAGCTGTCTATAAAATCTATTACCCCCATAGTAGGTGAAAACAACAACATTAGATAATATACCTACTAGACTAGGACATGAAGGTAGCTCTCTTAAAGATGATCCTTTCTGTGTTAATTTAGTTCATGATTTAATTGTGTAAACTGTGGGCACCATTCTGGAAACGCTTGTCATTTCTTTATAGAGTGCCAAACTTATTCAAATGCTCGTGCAGTAATGCTTCAAATTTTTAATTACATAAATATGCAAATTAGCTTAAATGTGTTACTTTTTGGCAAAGAAACCTGGCTTTGGATGTAAATTGTAATATATTTGAACATAATTATGTAGTCCTTCATAAAATCCAGCGGAAGACTTTGAACATGAACTATATATATCTATCTGTTACAATTTACATGTAATTTGCCTCTCTCTAGTGTTGGATTTGTAATCATCAGTTGCTATAACTTGTGCCAAATCGTTTGTACCTATTTGGACAATAAATTATGTTTAAAGTCAAATATTTACATTTGCATGGCATTGTCACTATATAGCCTCTTTGAGAGCTGTGTCGTTGATGGGACTTTAATTACCATGCCGCACGAGCCATAATTACCATGCCGCACGAGACACAATTCTTAGCGTATTAATTACAACACTGACCGGAACTACAATATCCAATGTAAATAAACATTACGGCTGCTGAAATATCGCTGGGCATTGTGAGATTTGATAATGTCATTGTAACTTTATGTGCAAAATTAAAATTAAAATAAAAAACACTTTTATTACAACGAAAACAAAACCAAGGTCTGCAATATCGTACAAAATGCACATCGGTTGAAAACACCAATGCCGGCAATGGAAACAATTTTAACGCTCATGCAATTTATCAGAAATATCGTCTGTTACACTGCACTGATCAACAGGGGTTCGTTATAAATGTCTGAAATACACATATTCTATAGACCTACTGACACATATGTTACAGACCTACTGATGAGTCACAGCACACATAAACATTCGTCATTTCAGACATTTGTAACGAACCTGTGCTCCGTCGCTAGATCACTCACTTCAAACGCTATCAGTTTCACGCGTCTCGGATCCACGGTTCCTCAGTTTCAGACGACATGTCAAATAACGATGCTGTTATAGAATCTACCGATTGTTGTCGGGTTCCCATACAATCAACAAATACATTCACGCCTGGATTCTTCACAAAACGAGCAAAGAGAAAAGTTCGAATTAACTTCCAAAAATAACTCCCTCGTGGAGGTCAAGGTCCCATTCACGGTGTTCACTGTATTTATCCATGCGCGAAATTTGTTCCGGGGGAAAATCGAAACAATTTCAAATCTAACTTTCAGCTCAGATTTCTATTGAAAAACTGGAATCACCCTATAGACATATCATACGCAATTGTATTGATACTAAATTGTGGAATAAATTTGAAGTGTTTGTTAAAATGTCAAAGTACTACTTTGTTTGCCAATCAGCACGCGACAATACGCTGTTCAAACTATTGAACGAAATTGTGTGGACTGTCGATAAGGCGGTCATTTTTAATTTTAATTATGAATTATAAGTTAAAAAAGAACATAAGAGGCAGAGAAAACGTAAATATAAGTATTGAACTGTTTTTGTATGATATTTATGATCTATTTGAATGACACAGCTTTGTAAGCAAACAAATAATAATGCGCTAGCGCGCATTATGTTGTTTGCTTGCAAAGCTGTGTCATTCAAATAGATCATAAATATCATACAAAAACAGTTCAATGCTTAAATACATGTAGAACTACTCATTTACTTAATCATAATCCTCAACTTCTTCAGACAAGAGCAATGTTTTTATTGGATGTTCCGTATCTTTGTCATCCTTTGACAGTTTTGGACGTAGCTCCAGTTTTATATTGGCTTACTTTTTAATTTGGATAAGGAAGACAAATATTTACAGCCGCCAGAACTTGTGACGTGGAAAAATATCACGATTTTTGTCACGTGACAGTAAACAAGATCAGCCTCTACACATTTACTATTGAATGTATCAGTATGCAAATTTAAATGGAAACCTATATGCTCACAGATGTTCCTTTTTGACATTAATTGGCTACTTTATCCGACTGGCGCATTTGAATAACCGGTTGCTGACGCACGACATGTAATAAAGGCGATAGATAAGAAAAACACAATTTCGATTTTTTTTAAATCTGAAATCAGTGAAGTTACCCTTGCCACAAACATACAATAATGTCCGATTTGATGTTAAATGTTTGAGGTCCAGTCGCTCGAACGGACAGTGGACTGAATTGGCACGTGACGTCATGTTTTACGTGTTATGAAGATTTGATTGTTTTATTAACATAAGTTTATCATATTAAAGTATTATAGCGCGCCGATACACTGCAGGGTTAGATATACTGACCTGACTATTGGGTCGGTGGGTGGGTGTATATCGATTACCCCGAGTTCATTGCTTAACACCTATAGTTAGCCGCGAGATATTTATATCTCATATAAACTATTTTCTGAACTTGAATTAAAGTGACGTTCATATTGATTTCAATGTTTCTTGTCGATTACACACACATGTGTACCGAGTACTATTTTGAAACGAAGATCATTGTTACATTATTTTGAAGCTTGTATCTTGAATTCATTAAGGAATAGGAACTAACCAGATATCTCATTTTCGCTGAATTTTTCCAATGTTTGCTGGAATACTCTACATCTGGGCTCCATAATTTACGACAGAAGTGTGATTTGCGTTTCATGTATTCCGATATTTGATCAGTCGTATGCGACGAAAGAGGCTGAGGTTCAAGTAATCTGGAGTTGTTATTAATTGTATTTAAGGTCATAGGAGTGTATTGATAAACGGAAATAGGAAGTACACACCTAGTTGAAAATCCAATGTAGGGAGACAGTATCACAATTTCCGCATATTCTAATGTTGAATATTAAACTGATGAATAATGTATGTTTATTATTGACAGAACAGTGTGTTCTCTCAATATTAAAGTATTTTAAACCAATCCAGGCATTAATTCAGGTGGGGTTTTTATCAATGAGTAACATGTGTCCATTCTTCTGAACTTCAGTTTACCTGTAATTACTGTGTATATGTTTTTATTATAAAATGTCAGTTTTTAATCGTTTAAAGATAATTAATTTTACACAATTTCACCATTTATTACATTGATATACATTAATGCAATACTAATCTATGTCAATATAATTTTTACTGACATTATTTTGGAAAAAACTATTTTCATTTTTTTTCAAAATTCACTCCTTTTACATAAATTTCCATTTAAAATCCTTAATATTGTGACTACCTATATATTTTTTTGTGGCAGAAAATTTTCTTTAATTCAAAGCAATATAACTACAAAATTTCAAGAAATTCTACTGAGAAATGGTGACACAATTCTATTACCTTAACGAGAAATCTTGTGTAAGTTGTATTTTATTGAAGGGGTTCAAACTGACGGCTTGCCCGAACCTCACATCTTTTATGAGATGTAAATGGCGGAAGGGGTTCAAATAAATCATGTCTCGTCGCTATGACAATACATTATGCAATCTTATTCCGTTTTACAGGGAGGATTCCATCTCGCCTTGCTGGACGCAAATGATAGTGTGATATACAACTTTTTCACAGACTTCATTGGCCAACAGGACCCCACGTAAGTCTATTTTAAACAGTAATGTTCACATACATTTTGTTAAGTATCCTTTCAAGCAGTTAATGCTTTCATGTACAGTAGACATCTCTCTATCTAGCCTACTGTTTCGTTTGTTCATACTTCCATGAGCACCTGTATGGAATGTGGGGGTGTTATCTATGACGCATATTCAAACATAATGCATGTATAAACATAGATATTTATTGCTGAACTATTTTGCGTGGTTTTATTAACCATAAACTGCAATATACTACTTAAACGTGTACACGTTTTGATTTCATTTTAAAGTTCATTTTAAATTTTTACTTTGTTTTCGTAACCATGTCCGAAAAAAACAATCATTAACTAGTTTAAAAATCAACTAAGCTACACACAAGATGATCGTGCCAAATAAAACTAGAACGCGTTTTCTTTTACAATCTGTCTATAATGGTATTGGACTACCTTTTGTTTTCCAGGACCGTCCATCATGAAATTACAATCCCAGACATGACCTGCAACAACTGTTCTCTACAATTGACCAGGGTAGCAGGAGAATGGCAACTTGCCACGTGCGACTACATATTTTGGTCATGCGCAGACATCGATATTATTCCCAGTGCGTACCCGCCTTGTGTTGAAGAATTGAAATAATGCAGAAACACCATTATTTTTATAAACACAATTGATCTATTGTTGGAGTTTATGTAATTTTGTACATGTCTACATTAAAGTAAAGTTTAATGATAGATAATTAATTTTAAGACCGTAGATCTGGTACAATATCACAGGTGCAACTCATGAATTCAAGGGTCATATACGTATTTCACTACTAGTCAAGCCCGTTAGTCCTGTCAATTTGGGACACATTTATTGCCCATTCTCCAGTCATTTTAGCAGGGGACTTAAAAAGGACTGGATTGTGGGGGCCCGACTGTTAATATATTACATTAACACACAACGTTGGTTGGAAGCTGGTTGGAAGACAAAACGGTATTATAACTGCCACAAGGTGGTGTTAAAAAACGCTTAAATTATGTCTAACCTCAGTGCCGTGAAAGCACCGTGAATAAGAGTTGTGTTGACTTCTGCAGGAATTGAGACACAGGTACCTATCGCGAACGGGGGAAATATTTTCTGAAAGAAACATGTAAAAATCTCACTCAACCCTGTTACGTAATGTAATCCGGAAGATTTGACAGATGTGGTATAAAAGTTGGAGTGTCAGATATGGTTTTGAAGATCTATTCCTCAGCGTTAATAAGAGCCATAAACTGTTATTATCTACTGCTGATTGTCGTTACTGTGATGGCACCAATTTAATAACCATGTTTCCGTTTTTGGACGAATTCATTACGTTCCTATTTATCAGTGCATTATTGTTAAATCGAAAAGCCGTAACAGCACCATTTGTTTCTCATTCGCGATAGGTACCTGTGGCTGAGGCAAGTCCGAATTATTGAGTCATTCTGACGTTTTATCGTGGTTTTTTTTTTTACATCGGTCTGGGTTAATCGACGCCAGACCGACTATCGGACGTGAAAAGGTTGGGTCACCTGCCCGATTGCGTGGGTTTTCTCCGGGTACTCCGGTTTCCTCCCACACTAAGACCCCCCACGCGCTAACATCCGGCCCAACAAGAGTGATAATATAAGTTGAAATAACTTGTTTCATAATTGTTGTTAACTAAATAATGTTTATACTTTTATGGCTGAGGCGTGTGGAAAGGAGTAATGCAATTTGTCAAGTCATTGCTGACCGGTTTACCAAACCAAACGGGACATAACTAATAATATATACTAGCTACTTCGAGTGTTGACCGGTCCACAGGTGTTTGAAATTCTGAATGTAAATTGAGATATTTTTTATATATATAATTTAGCCTTATTTTTTATGATATATATCTCACTCTCGTGTTACTCTGATGTGAGTTTGCCATGTTAACAAACCCAATGACGGAACACTGAAAAAAATTATCCACCCTAGGCCTCATGACCATTCTATCCTGGTGTGAGGGACCATTTAATACACATTTTTATAACAGTGTTTATCTATTAAACAGGTTCGTCAACAGCGCAGTTTGATAAATGCAATGGTCAACCGGTGGTCAATACCCCCGGTGGTGGGTACACCTGCAGCTGTATCAGTCGTTACCATGGCGACCATTGTCAGTATATGAGTAAGTGTCTGGTAGGCCATTGATTGTTATAGGTGGAATTCAACATTATCCTATTTTTGTGTAGGAAATCCGAAATGTAATGTGACTTTCTGTGATGTTATCAGATTAAACTGAAATAATGTCACAGAAATCAAGAACATAAAAAGGAGGTTTTTGCCCTTTGTAACTGTTCATGATGATACTTGATATAAAACATAGGAGAATTTACCTATTTGAGTTTTGATCACCAGAGTGAAATTCTGTCAATGATTAATATTAATAGTAATATCAAATACCTAGTAACCATTTATTTCATACAAAACTGTATAATATTAATATTTTGCAGAACTTACCTATTAGCTGTATATTTCATGTTCCCTTGTTTTTTGAAAAAGGTCACCAATTTATCTAGTCTTTGTATTTTATTTTGCAGAACTGGCCTATTAGATGTATATTTCATGTTACCCTGTTTTTTGAAAAAGGTCACCAATTTATCTGGTCTTTGTATTTTATTTTGCAGAACTCACCTATTAGATGTATATTTCATGTTCCCCTGTTTTTTGAAAAAGCTCACCAATTTATCTGGTCTTTGTATTTTATTTTGCAGAACTCACCTAAAACATGTGTATCTTATGTTCCCCTCCTTTTTGCTAAAGGTCACCAATTTATCTGGTCTTTGTATTTTATTTGCAGACGACTGTGAAACTAACAGTGACTGTAGTAACCATGGTCTGTGTGAGTATGTAGAAGCCACCTCCTACCCTAAGCGTCAGTGCTATTGTGATCCGGGCTGGTTCGGACAGAACTGTGAACATGGTGAGTAGCTCAACATTGACAGCTAGTTGGTCAGTTGGTGGGTGCATGCTTTGGATAACAGCAGCGTGGTGGAATACACACTACAGGTAACTGTAGATAATACAAAGTTACAAAATTATCCTTTCCAAACAAAACTAATCAGAGATATTTATTTCAAATAAATACAAGAGCAGCACCATTTCAGTCAGAATTACCGGGGTCTGATAAACACTGAAGTAAAACTCTGTGATTCTCTCCCCAATTTTCGGGGAAATGCGACAGTATGTTCTTTTGCAAAAAAAAACACCAAGAATTATTTACAACTCATTCAGTATGACTTTACCGCTATATATCCCTACAAACTTAAGATGGCATTCATATAGATTATAAATGTCATGGCAAATGTTGACGTTGTTGTTATTATGATGTTATAATTGTAACATTAAATTCCACTAACTCTTCATGAGAGGAGCTCAGTGCTGTTCTATTCATTGAACAAGCATACATATAATGGTGTCACACACCATTTTAGTTTCAATTGACGGATATTGACATGAGATGTAATCAACAACAGCAGATGGTGACTTGATATATTAACAAGACCAGGTAATCCTTTATTGGTACTTGCACACTATCTCCATTACAGAGTCGATGGTTCGGACAACATCGGTTGACAAGTCCCTGTATGTACACACCAATCTCTCAGCACAGTTTCAGATGTACCACAGGGTGCTTGAGGTGAGTCTGAATTATTGTAAAGTTAAAGTACATGTATTATTTTTTTTTAAATTGAATTAATCCCTTTGTTTCCCCAGATGTGAAGGGTTATTAATGTATGACATCAGTTTTGGTATAGAAAGCATGTCCTAGTCTCTTTAATTTGATTTTTGTTCAAACACATGTGATGACTTCAATATTATCATAACCACAACATTTATAGATTACATATGCTGAAAGAATTTTTTAATCTAAGGGGGATAACTCCATATTAATAGTTGACATCACAAAGGTTTTCATGTTCATTGTTGTACACCAGCTTGAAATATGGCAAGTTTAGACTCAAACTTTATTTTTCGTCAAAGCATCCATGATGACTGTGATGAGTTGTCATAGTAATGAAGAGGATGGTATAATTTCTGGAGTTAAAAAAACCCAACTAAACAAACTTAATTAAATTAAAGCTAGAAACATGCAATGGAATATATGTATATGTCACTAGAGCAGCTTTACTTTTGAGGGTGAAAAGAGAGTAAGGGTCTGCTACATTCAGTTATCAATGTTTGCTTACCTTCTTTGAAGCCCTGCATCACTTAAACATTTTGAAGATTTCATTTATACATGAACATAATTTAACTTTTGCTCATTAAATCATCCAAGCGGACCACACAATCTGGATCACACTATCAATGTGACTTTATTTATATGGAGAAAAAGAATACAAGCGTAATTTTTTTCAAATAAAATAAAAGTATTCAATTTGTAAACATTAGATCGAGTACTGGGAAGAGAAATGCCCCTAATGGACACAACTACAATATTTTTGCACAGAAAACCAGTTTAAAAAGAAAACTTGTAGAAGAATTTACAGCACCAATGTTTTATTTTAAAATACAATGTATATTCGTTATGTGTGTATGAAGTTATTGTCTTCGAAAAATATCAGCAATGTGATGCGATCGCGCTGAGGAAGTGTTAACGTCATTTAGCACTCACAATGGTCACATGACCTATTTAGTATCACTTATCTTTAAACAAAAAAATCATATCTTAGTATATTTTTTATGGTAATGTTTTTACTAGGAATTTTACTTCGCCACGAGTCTTTATAATCTGATATTTTAAAAGATTCCATTTTGAGAGAAATATCACCATAAAAAATGTACTATTCTGTAGTAACTAATGAAATAAATATTATTTTAAGTTTTTCCTAGTTGAAGTTTTTCCATCACTTGAAACTGATTTGTATGTGACAAATAATATACACAAATTTGATGTTTTTTTTGCAGACTGAACAGGAATTGGAGGTACTACTTGAGGTTCAGACACAGACTTGGGTTGGAATTGGACTTCGCCCTAATGGTAAGTTATCCACTCTGATGTTGAGTTGTCTACCCTGATGGTAACCCTAACAGTTAATTGTCTACACTGCTAGTTAGTTGCCTTCACTGAAGGTAAGTTGTGATTCGAGACAGAAATTGTCTTCCCTGATAGTAAGTTGTCTTAATCCTAACAGTAAGTCAGTAACATATTCTTTCCAGACAGTAATTGTCTAAATCCTTGATAGTTAATCATCTACCCTGAAATTATGTTGTCTCCACTGACAATTAGTTGTCTACCATGCAGTAATTTGTAACTTGAGAGTTAGTTATCAGTCCTGTAGGTGAGTTAACTCCTCTGACAGTAAGTTGTCTGTCCTGTAGGTGAGTTAACTACACTGACAGTAAGTTGTGTGTCCTGTTGGTGAGTTAACTACGCTGACAGTAAGTTGTCTGTCCTGTTGGTGAGTTAACTTACCTGACAGTAAGTTGTCTGTCCTGTAGGTGAGTTAACTCCTCTGACAGTAAGTTTTCTGTCCTGTTGGTGAGTTAACTACACTGACAGTAGGTTGTCTGTCCTGTTGGTGAGTTAACTTCCCTGACAGTAAGTTGTCTGTCCTGTAGGTGAGTTAACTACACTGACAGTTAGTTATCAGTCCTGTAGGTGAGTTAACTCCTCTGACAGTAAGTTGTCTGTCCTGTAGGTGAGTTAACTCCTCTGACACTAGGTTGTTTGTCCTGTAGGTGAGTTAACTACACTGACAGTAAGTAGTCTGTCCTATTGGTGAGTTAACTACACTGACAGTAAGTTGTGTGTCCTGTTGGTGAGTTAACTACACTGACAGTTAGTTGTCTGTCCTGTTGGTGAGTTAACTTACCTGACAGTAAGTTGTCTGTCCTGTAGGTGAGTTAACTACACTGACAGTAAGTTATCAGTCCTGTAGGTGAGTTAACTCATCTGACAGTAAGTTGTCTCTCCTGTTGGTGAGTTAACTACACTGACAGTTAACTACACTGACAGTTAGTTATCAGTCCTGTAGGTGAGTTAACTCCTCCGACAGTAAGTTGTCTGTCCTGTTGGTGAGTTAACTACACTGACAGAAAGTTGTCTGTCCTGTAGGTGAGTTAACTCCTCTGACACTAGGTTGTCTGTCCTGTAGGTGAGTTAACTACACTGACAGTAAGTTGTCTGTCCTGTTGGTGAGTTAACTTCCCTGACAGTAAGTTGTCTGTCCTGTTGGTGAGTTAACTACACTGACGGTAGGTTGTCTGTCCTATTGGTGAGTTAACTCCTCTGACAGTAAGTTGTCTGTACTGTTGGTGAGTTAACTACACTGACAGTAGGTTGTCTGTCCTGTTGGTGAGTTAACTACTCTGACAGTAAGTTGTCTATCCTGTTGGTGAGTTAACTTCCCTGATAGTAAGTTGTCTATCCTGTTGGTGAGTTAACTTCCCTGACAGTAAGTTGTCTATCCTGTAGGTGAGTTAACTACTCTGACAGTAAGTTGTCTGTCCTGTTAGTGAGTTAACTACACTGACAGTAAGTTGTATGTCCTGTTGGTGAGGTAACTACACTGACAGTAGGTTGTCTGTCCTGTAGGTGAGTTAACTACACTGACAGTAAGTAGTCTGTCCTATTGGTGAGTTAACTACACTGACAGTTAGTTGTCTGTCCTGTTGGTGAGTTAACTCCCCTGACAGTAAGTTTTCTGTCCTGTTGGTGAGTTAACTACACTAACAGTAGGTTGTCTGTCCTGTTGGTGAGTTAACTTCCATGACAGACTACTCTGACAGTAGGTTGTCTATCCTGTTGGTGAGTTAACTACACTAACAGTAGGTTGTCTGTCCTGTTGGTGAGTTAACTACCCTGACAGTAAGTTCTCTACCCTCAAGAAGTTGTTTGTCCTGTTGGTGAGTTAACTACCCTGACAGTAAGTTGTCTGTCCTATTGGTGAGTTAACTCTGACAGTAAGTTGTCTGTCCTGTTTGTGAGTTTACTACACTGACAGTAAGTTGTCTGTCCTATTGGTGAGTTAACTACACTGACTGGTTGGTGAGTTAACTTCCCTGACAGTAAGTTCTCTACCCTCAAGAATTTGTCTGTCCTGTTGGTGAGTTAACTACCCTGACAGTAAGTTCTCTACCCTCAAGAAGTTGTCTGTCCTGTTGGTGAGTTCACTTCCCTGACGGTAAGTTCTCTACCCTCAAGAAGTTGTCTGTCCTGTTGGTGAGTTCACTTCCCTGACGGTAAGTTCTCTACCCTCAAGAAGTTGTCTGTCCTGTTGGTGAGTTCACTTCCCTGACGGTAAGTTCTCTACCCTCAAGAAGTTGTTTGTGAGTTAACTTACTGTCAGTGTAGTTAACTCACCTACAGGACAGACAACTTACTGTCAGAGTAGTTAACTCACCAACATGACAGACAACTTACTGTCAGTGTAGTTAAATTGCCAACAGTACAGACAACTTAACGTTAGTGTAGTTACCTCACCAACAGAGTTAACTCACCAATAGGACAGACAACTTACTGTCAGTGTAGTAAACTCACAAACAGGACAGACAACTTACTGTCAGAGAAGTTAACTCACCTACAGGATAGACAACTTACTGTCAGGGAAGTTAACTCGCCAACAGGACAGACAACTTACTGTCAGGGTGGTAAACTCACCAACTGGACAGACAACTTACTGTCAGGGAAGTTGACTCACCAACAGGACAGACAACTTAGTGTCAGTGTAGTTAAATTGCCAACAGGACAGACAACTTAACGTTAGTGTAATTAACTCACCAACAGGATAGACAACTTACTTCCAGTGTAGTTAACTCACCAACAGGACAGAAACCTCACTGTCAGGGGCGTTAACTCACCAACAGGACAGACAACTAACTGTCAGTGTAGTTAACTCACCAACATGACAGACAACTTACTGTCAGTGTAGTTAACCCACCAACAGGACACACAACTTACTGTCAGGGAAGTTAACTCAACAACAGGATAGACAACTTACTGTCAGAGTAGTTAACTCACCTACAGGACAGACAACTTACTGTCAGGGAAGTTGACTCACCAACAGGACAGAAAACTTACTCTCTGGTTAGTTAACTCACCAACAGGACAGACAACCTACTGTCAGGGAAGTTGACTCACCAACAGGACAGACAACTTACTATCAGTGTAGTTAACTCATCAACAGGACAGACAACTTACTGCCAGTGTAGTTAACTCACCAACAGGACATACAACTTACTGTCAGTGTAGTTAACTCATCAACGGGACAGACAACTTACTGTCAGTGTAGTAAACTCACCAACAGGACAGTTAGTGTAGTTAACTCACCAACAGGACAGTAAGTTGTCTGTCCTGTTGGTGGGTTTACTTCCCTGATGGTAAGTTGTCTGTCCTGTTGGTGAGTTAACTACCCTGACAGTAAGTTCTCTACCCTCAAGAATTTGTCTGTCCTGTTGGTGAGTTAACTTCCCTACAGTAAGTTGTCTGTCCTGTTGGTGAGTTAACTACACTGGCAGTAAGTTGTCTATCCTGTTGGTGAGTTAACTACACTAACGTTAAGTTGTCTGTCCTGTTGGCAATTTAACTACACTGACAGTAAGTTGTCTGTCCTGTTGGTGAGTCAACTTCCCTGACAGTAAGTTGTCTGTCCTGTTGGTGAGTCAACTTCTCTGACAGTAATTTGTCTGTCCTGTTGGTGAGTTAACTACACTGACATTAAGTTGTCTGTCCAGTTGGCAATTTAACTACACTGACAGTAAGTTGTCTGTCCTGTTGTTGAGTTAACTCCCCTGACAGTAAGTTGTCTGTCCTGTTGGTGAGTCAACTTCCCTGACAGTAGGTTGTCTGTCCTGTTGGTGAGTTTACTACCCTGACAGTAAGTTGTCTGTCCTATTGGTGAGTCAACTTCCCTGACAGTAGGTTGTCTGTCCTGTTTGCGAGTTTACTACCCTGACAGTATGTTGTCTGTCCTGTTGGTGAGTCAACCACCCTGACAGTAAGTTGTCTGTCCTGTTTGCAAGTTAACTACCCTGACAGTAAGTTGTCTGTCCTGTTGGTGAGTTAATTTCCCTGACAGTAAGTAGTCTGTCCTGTTGGTGAGTTAACTACCCAGAGAGTAAGTTTTCTACCCTCAAGAAGTTGTTGATCCTGACAGTAAGTTGTCTGTCCCGTTGGTAAGTTAACTTCCCCGACAGTAAGTTGTCTGTCCTGTTGATGAGTTAACTACCCTGAGAGTAAGTTTTCTACCCTCTAGAAGTTGTTTGTCCTGATAGTAAGTTGTCTGTCCTGTTGTTGATTTAACTCCCCTGACAGTAAGTTGTCTGTCCTGTTGGTGAGTTAACTTCCCTGACAGTAAGTTGTCTGTCCAGTTGGTGAGTTTACCACCCTGACAGTAAGTTGTCTGTCCTGTTGGTGAGTTAACTACACTGACAGTAAGTTCTCTACCCTCAAGAAGTTGTTTGTCCTGTTGGTGAGTTAACTTCCCTGACAGTAAGTTCTCTACCCTCAAGAAGTTGTTTGTCCTGTTGGTGAGTTAACTTCCCTGACAGTAAGTTCTCTACCCTCAAGAAGTTGTCTGTCCTGTTGGTGAGTTAACTTCCCTGACAGTAAGTTCTCTACCCTCAAGAAGTTGTCTGTCCTGTTGGTGAGTTAACTTCCCTGACAGTAAGTTCTCTACCCTCAAGAAGTTGTCTGTCCTGTTGGTGAGTTAACTTCCCTGACAGTAAGTTCTCTACCCTCAAGAAGTTGTCTGTCCTGTTGGTGAGTTAACTTCCCTGACAGTAAGTTCTCTACCCTCAAGAAGTTGTCTGTCCTGTTGGTGAGTTAACTTCCCTGACAGTAAGTTCTCTACCCTCAAGAAGTTGTCTGTCCTGTTGGTGAGTTAACTTCCCTGACAGTAAGTTCTCTACCCTCAAGAAGTTGTCTGTCCTGTTGGTGAGTTAACTTCCCTGACAGTAAGTTCTCTACCCTCAAGAAGTTGTCTGTCCTGTTGGTGAGTTAACTTCCCTGACAGTAAGTTCTCTACCCTCAAGAAGTTGTCTGTCCTGTTGGTGAGTTAACTTCCCTGACAGTAAGTTCTCTACCCTCAAGAAGTTGTCTGTCCTGTTGGTGAGTTAACTTCCCTGACAGTAAATTCTCTACTCTCAAGAAGTTGTCTGTCCTGTTGGTGAGTTAACTTCCCTGACAGTAAGTTCTCTACCCTCAAGAAGTTGTTTGTCCTGTTTGTGAGTTAACTACCCTGACAGTAAGTTCTCTACCCTCAAGAAGTTGTTTGTCCTGTTGGTGAGTTAAAAAAAAAAAAACTTGAACTACCCTGACAGTAAGTTCTCTACCCTCAAGAAGTTGTTTGTCCTGTTGGTGAGTTAACTACCCTGACAGTAAGTTCTCTATCCTCAAGAAGTTGTTTGTCCTGTTGGTGAGTTAAAAAAAAACAACCTTGAACTACCCTGACAGTAAGTTCTCTACCCTCAAGAAGTTGTTTGTCCTGCACTAAGTTGTCCACATTGATGGTGAGTTATCTGACCTTTGGAAGTCGGTTAACTACCTCGATAGTAAGATGTCTTCTGAGATATAGGTCACCACATGATAGTTAAATTATTATTGTTCGCAGGTTACAGAAGTGGATGTCAGCATTTTCCAGTTAATTACAGATCTTCTGGGTCAAGTACAGGTGAACCAGAACCTAGTGTAGAACCCGAGGTCACATCAGAACCTGAGGTCACATCAGAACCAGAGGTCACATCAGAACCAGAGGTCACATCAGAACCTGAGGTCACATCAGAACCCGAGGTCACATCAGAACCCGAGGTCACATCAGAACCAGAGGTCACACCAGAAGCTACAGCGGAACCACAGGCCCCCCATACTTGTAGTAATAGTGCGACGTCTGGCACACATACATTGACATGGGAAGTGACAGCGGGCAGTAACGACATCAAGTTTACACACACAGCGACTGTTGCTGGTGACAAGTGGATGGCTTTTGGCATTTCCTACGATAAATTTATGGTAATAAATGTATTTAGTTCTTCATCACATGAAATATCTGTTATTAACCATATTGGATTTCAGTTTTGAAGAGAAAAGTTCCTTGAGAATAAATGTTTCACTTACATTTTTTTTCTCTCAAGAGAATATTATGTTTTTTACTAAAGAATAAGGAAAGCTACATTCTTTGTGTGGTCAGACATCACTCATAGTATGTTTCTGTTGCAGCTTGGCTCTGATGTGTACACAAGCTACATCCATGGGAGTGGACAAGTTTACTTACTGGACAGGTAAAGAGCACATTATGTCTTAATGTCTACAATGGTTCATAGTGTTGGAATAGCCATCTGTAATGATATTAAGTGGACTACAGTAATCAAATACTGATGATAATTCGTAAAACTGTACATTTATAAGTGTTTAATTTCAACAGCATTTATCGTTTCCAGACCACTGCATAATATGCACAATACCTATTCTACAGATAAAATGAAATTCATACTTTTTGTTTCATTTTAATAGCTTAAGTGTAACGAAACCAATATTAGAATACATAACATCCTGCTTTGTTTTATCTTTTCATATCATTACACTACAGTAATACCATTGGGGCCAATGCAAAGACTATGCCAGTAATTGATCCCATTTCCAGTGTCATGAATGTCTCTGGTTCTCAAAATGGTAACAGCAAATCTGTAAGCTTCTGGAGACTGAGAGATACTTCTGATATCAACGATATAAAACTTTTGGAAACAACCCAGTTCCATGTGTTATTTGCTGAAGGAACTAATTTCGTAGATTTAAATGGAGTGTTGATGTATGGGAAACATGACTTGAAAATGCGCACAGACAGGACTTTCACCATCCCAAAGTGTGGTTAGTGTTCCGTCAATTTGTTATTATGTAATGCAATAATTAGTGTCATTTTTGTATGCATGAATGTTTCCATTCAATACTGAGTGCAGCTGGCAGAGTTTCTGTGGAATTATGCCATGACATTACACATTTTAAGAACAGTTAAGGCCTAGGATTGTGATATTTGATATTTGAAAATTTATTTTAAATTAATAACCATGAATCACATTCAAGATCACACGGTCAAATGTGTGTCGAAAACTTCAAACAACTTCCTCTGACCCACAAAGCCTTGAGTCAGAGAATACTTACCATGTAACTTGCAAGGGTGTAGAGTCTATAATTATATCACCTTGGCTAATTACATTCAATAGTGATCAGACATGTTAAAATGCTCAAACAATGCGTAATGAAAAATAAGTCCTGTATTACATATACTTCTATTGATTGGGCCTGTAGCTTGTAAATGACCTTGACTGGCATTGAGTCACATGTTCAATTCTGAAAACTTCTAAATGGCATCTTCTCTGATGCACCACGAGGCCTAGCTAGAGTAGTGATACCGGTATATATATTCAGCCTGTAATTTTCTGGTGTGAATTAAGGGATCAGATAAGTTAATTTGTTCAAATAGATAAACATTTACATGCATTATTTTAAAAGTCACATAGATAATTAAAACAAAAGTGTTATAACTTAAAAAAAATTGAAAGTTATGCCTTGGATTATGATATCTGGCCTAAAGCTTACCATTAATGCAATAAAAGTCTGTGCAGATAAATGAACTTGTCTAGTCCAACATTCATGTTCATAAAAATATAAGCAAAATATGTTAAAAAAAGTAGAAAACATTACTTTCTAATAATGAATCTAAAAGCCTGTAGAATGATGATATTTGTTTGTCTTTCTTGCAAGGGTGAAGGGCTATTCAAATTAAGGGGAGTCAATCTACAACATGGTTCACAGTGACCAACGCCTCGGTCATGAAGTTGACAAACATCTTCAATCAATAACATTTCTAGATAATATTTATAAAATTAATAACTTGTCATGTTATGGAGATTCAGTTATACTATGTCATTTTAACATTGTGTACAATATGTCATATGGTGGAGAACTAGAGTCAACCTCATGATTCCATTGTTATATTGTGTACATTATGTATGTGATAGAGAGTCATTTTTACTAGGTGTTTAAACATTTTATATCACATCATGCATGTAATGCTTAATTTGTCTTTGTCATCTCAACACTATACATGTAGTCATACCAGAATAGGTCAAGTGGAAATTCAAGCTCAGCGATCATTCATCAAAATATAGTATAAAATATATAAATTTTGCAAATTCCAAACATAAATTATAGCTAATTTTGTATTTTGCAGAAAGACCAACAACTTCCATCCCAGAGCCCGAGGCGACGCCCACACCAGAAGTTGCAGTGACAGCTATTCCAAACCTCCGTACTTGCAGTCATACCCTGAGCAGTTCAAGTAACACTCACACGTTGACATGGGAAGTGACAGAGGGCAGTAATTACATCAAGTTTACCCACACAGCAGCTGTTTCTGGTGATAAAGTCTGGGCTGCCTTTGCAATTTCTCTTGATACCTCAATGGTAAGTAATGGTAGATTCTGCTTACTTTGTTACCTCTATGGTAAGTAATGGTAGTCTCTGCTTTCATTGATACCTCTATGGTAAGTAATGGTAGTTTCTGCTTACCTTGATAGATCTGTAGTAATTAAGTAATGGTAGATTCTGCTTACCTTGATACATCTATAGTAAGTAATGGTAGTTTCTGCTTACCTTGATAGATCTGTAGTAATTTAGTAATGGTAGTTTCTGCTTACCTTGATACATCTATAGTAATTAGTAATGGTAGTTTCTGCTTACCTTGATACATCTATAGTAGGTAATGGTAGTTTCTGCTTACCTTGATAGATCTATAGTAGGTAATGGTAGTTTCTGCTTACCTTGATAGATCTGTAGTAATTTAGTAATGGTAGTTTCTGCTTACCTTGATAGATCTATAGTAATTAGTAATGGTAGTTTCTGCTTACCTGGATAGATCTGTAGTAAGTAATGGTAGTTTCTGCTTACCTTGATACATCTATAGTAAGTAATGGTAGTTTCTGCTTACCTGAATAGATTTATAGTATTTAGTAATGGAAGTTTCTGCTTACCTTGATAGATCTGTAGTAATTAGGCAATGGTAGTTTCTGCTTACCTGGATAGATCTGTAGTAAGTAATGGTAGTTTCTGCTTACTTTGATACCTCTATGGTAAGTAGCGGTAGTTTCTGCTTATCTTGATAGATCTGTAGTAAGTAATGGTAGTTCCCGTTACCTTGATAGATCTGTAGTAGGTAATCATAGTTTCTGCTTACATTGATACCTTTTTGGTAAGTAATGGTAGTCTCTGCTTTCATTGATACCTTTATGGTAAGTAATGGTAGTTTCTGCTTACCTTGATAGATCTGTAGTAAGTAATGGTAGTTTCTGCTTACCTTGATAGATCTGTATTAAGTAATGGTAGGTTTCTGCTTACATTGATACCTCTATAGTAAGTAATGGTAGTTTCTGCTTACCTTGATAGATCTGTAGTAAGTAATGGTAGTTTCTGCTTACATTGATACCTTACCTTGATACATCTATAGTTAGTAATGGTAGTTTCTGCTTACCTTGATACATCTATAGTAATTAGTAATGGTAGTTTCTGTTTACAATGATACCCCTATAGTTAGTAATGGTAGTTTCTGCTTACTTTGATACCTCTATGGTAAGTAATGGTAGTTTCTGCTTACCTGGATAGATCTGTAGTAAGTAAGTAATGGTAGTTTCTGGTTACCTGGATAGATCTGTAGTAAGTAATGGTAGTTTCTGCTTACCTTGATACATCTAAAGTAAGTAGTGGTAGTTTCTGCTTACCTAGATAGATCTATAGTATTTAGTAATGGTAGTTTCTGCTTACCTTGATACCTCTATAGTAAGTAATGGTAGTTTCCGTTCTGCTTACCTTGATACATCTAAGGTAAGTAATGGTAATTTTTGCTTAACACTATGCTTTTATTATCCTGACTGTATGGAAACATGATTCTCTCTGAGGTTAATCATGGTTCAGAAAGGCTGAAATAATGAATAAATGAAAAACAATAGCACTAGTAGAGATGATCATGAGGTTGATGTACCTTTGCTATCGTCTACTTCAGTTATACAGAACTAGGTTGTGTTGGCTCTGGCCAATTTTTCTGGGGAGACTCTAAATAAGGGAAATGTGATTGGGGAAACATGAGCCTGCGAAGGTGACAATATATTTTGCTGGCTCATCATGTGACCAGTATCATCCAATCAGACAACCTGTTATAAAGATGAAGTGTTATAAATGAATAAATCGACACCTTACACTACAACAATAGCGTATTCTTGATTATCCCCACAGGCTAAGACTTTACTAGTTTTTGTAAACACAATTAAGGTAATTTGGTACTCTAAAACAATAATAAAGATAATTTGAGTTGTTTTTTTACAGTTGTTAAAGTTTTACATGTTTATTTTTTGCTAATTTTAAATGATTGGCAAAATATGAAAAAATATAACCGCAGTAAAAATGTTCCGATTTACAGGACTCAATTTTGCTTTAATCGGTAAAAAATATCCTGTTTAATTTCACCTAAATTTAGTAATGCGGGTAGGTACTACATGGTCTTTTTGACTTCGGTAATATAAAGTTTTGTTTATTTTCTAATATGTATATCCTTTCTTTTCCAGCTGAACTCGGACATGTATGTCAGTTCTATCGATTCTACTGGAAATACTCATCTGCTGGACAGGTAATACAAATAATGGACAGGTAATATAATAACAAATACTGGACAGGTAATAACAGATACTGGACAGATAAGAAAATATGCTGGACAGGTAATAACAAATACTAGACAGGAAATAACATATACTGGACAGGTTATAAAATATACTGGACAGGTATTAACAGTTACTGGACAGGTAATAAAACATACTGGACAGGCAATAACAGATACTGGACAGGTAATAACAGATACTGGACAGGTAATAACAGGTACTGGACAGGTAATAACAGATACTGGACAGGTAATAACAGATACTGGACAGGTAATACAACATACTTGACAGGTAATAACAGATAATGGACAGGTAATAACAGATACTGGACAGGTAATATCAGTTATTGGACACATAATAACAGATACTGGAAGGTAATAAAACATACTGGACAGGTAATAACATATACTTGACTGGTAATAACAGATACTGGACAGGTAATATCAGTTATTGGACAGGTAATAAAAAATACTGGAGAAGTATTAACAGATACTGGACAGGTAATAACAGTTATTGGACAGGTAATAAAAAATACTGGAGAAGTAACAACAGATACTGGGCAGCTAATAACAGATACTGGACAGGTAATAACAGATACTGGACATGTAATAACAGATACTGGGCAGCTAATAACCGATACTGGACAGGTAATAGCAAATAACGGACAGGTTATAACAGATACTTGACAGATAATAAAATACACTGGACAGGTAATAACATACACTGGACAGGTAATATCAGATATTGGACAGGTAATAAAACATACTAGACAGGTAATAACAGATAACGGACAGGTAATAGCAGATACTTGACAGGTCATAACAGATCCTGGACAGGTAATAACAGTTATTGGACAGGAAATAAAAAATACTGGAGAAGTATTAACAGATACTGGACAGTGAATACAGATACTGGACAGGTTATAAAATATACTGGACAGGTATTAACAGATACTGGACAGTGAATACAGATACTGGACAACAGATACCGGACAGGTAATAACAGATAACGGACAGGTAATAGCAGATACTTGACAGGTCATAACAGATACTGGACAGGGAATATCAGTTATTGGACAGGTAATAAAAAATACTTGAGAAGTAATATCAGATACTGGGCAGCTAATAACAGATCCTGGACAGGTAATAACATGACAGGTAATAACATATACTAGACAGGTAATAACAGATAATGGATTGGTTATAACAGATACTTGACAGATAATAAAATACACTGGACAGGTAATATCAGTTATTGGACAGGTAATAAAAAATACTTGAGAAGTAATAACAGATACTGGGCAGCTAATAACAGATACTGGACAGGTAATAACATATACTGGACAGGTAATAAAACATACTGGACAGATAATAACAGATATCGGACAGGTAATAACAGATACTGGACAGGTAATAACAGATACTGGACAGGTTATAACAGATACTTGACAGATAATAAAATACACTGGACAGGTAATAACAGATACTGGACAGGTAATAGCAGATACTGGACAGGTCATAACAGATACTGGACAGGTGATAACATATTCTTGACAGGAAATAACAGATACTGGGCAGGTAATAACATATACTGGACAGGTAATAAAACATACTGGACAGATAATAACAGATATCGGACAGGTCATAACAGATACTGGACAGGTAATAACAGATACTGGACAGGTAATAACAGATACTGGACAGGTAATAAAACATACTGGACAGGTAATAGCAGATATGGACAAGTGATAACAGATACTGGACAGGTTATAACAGATACTTGACAGATAATAAAATACACTGGACAGGTAATAACAGATACTGGACAGGTAATAACAGATACTGGACAGGTTATAACAGATACTGGACAGGTAATAAAATAACTGGACAGGTAATAAAATAAACTGGACAGGCAATAACAGATACCGGACAGGTAATGACAGATAAAAAAATATGCTGGAGAGGTAATAACAGATACTGGACAGGTAATAACAGATACTGGACATGTAATAACAGATACTGGACAGGAAATAACAGATACTGGTAAAAAAAGAATCACAATATACAATCCAGCATTGCGTCTGTTTCAAACTCTGGATGATTGGAGGGTGGCAGGAATAATTTAGGATTAGGTGTGACTAGATCATCATGAAGGTATTGAGGTTGCTGTATTATACATGATTGAAGGTGGCTGAATTTATGTGGGTCCATTTGATATCTGTCAGATTATTTGTTTTAAATAATCCAAATATTATGTGTTCTCATTAAATGATTGATATATAATGTCACTCTATAAAACAGTTTATATAATGTTTTTATTTTCCTTTTCTCAATAGCAACACTATGAGTATGAGTTACAAGAGCCAGCCAACTTTGGATTCTAATCAAAATGTGATGAATGTCGCTAGCTCTAAAACCGACTCCATGCAAACTGTTACCTTCCGGAGACTGAGAGATACGCTAGACAGCAAAGATATAGCAATTACAGAAGCAACACAATTCTACGTTTTATTTGCACATGGACCCAACTTTATCCCGGATGGACAAGGGGGGGCCAGCTACAATTATCATACTGCAAAAGAAATACACAGCCCAATGACAACCATCCCTAAGTGTGGTAAGTGCTCATCAAAGGTTCCGATTCACTGTACCGATTTCATTCCTCAACAGAATTTCACGCAACTTGATACAAGTGTTTGTTATGACCAAACTTTGAACAATTTTCATTTTGGGTTACTGCGTTACAGGTCAAGGTCACTTTTACTATATTTAGAAAATTAAGTCCTGTATTACATATACTTCTATTGATTGGGCCTGTAGCTTGTAAATGACCTTGACTGGCATTGAGTCACATGTTCAATTCTGAAAACTTCTAAATGGCATCTTCTCTGATGCACCACGAGGCCTAGCTAGAGTAGTGATACCGGTATATATATTCAGCCTGTAATTTTCTGGTGTGAATTAAGGGATCAGATAAGTTAATTTGTTCAAATAGATAAACATTTACATGCATTATTTTAAAAGTCACATAGATAATTAAAACAAAAGTGTTATAACTTAAAAAAAATTGAAAGTTATGCCTTGGATTATGATATCTGGCCTAAAGCTTACCATTAATGCAATAAAAGTCTGTGCAGATAAATAAACTTGTCTAGTCCAACATTCATGTTCATAAAAATATAAGCAAAATATGTTAAAAAAAGTAGAAAACATTACTTTCTAATAATGAATCTAAAAGCCTGTAGAATGATGATATTTGTTTGTCTTTCTTGCAAGGGTGAAGGGCTATTCAAATTAAGGGGAGTCAATCTACAACATGGTTCACAGTGACCAACGACTCGGTCATGAAGTTGACAAACATCTTCAATCAATAACATTTCTAGATAATATTTATAAAATTAATAACTTGTCATGTTATGGAGATTCAGTCATACTATGTCATTTTAACATTGTGTACAATATGTCATATGGTGGAGAACTAGAGTCAACCTCATGATTCCATTGTTATATTGTGTACATTATGTATGTGATAGAGAGTCATTTTTACTAGGTGTTTAAACATTTTATATCACATCATGGATGTAATGCTTAATTTGTCTTTGTCATCTCAACACTATACATGTAGTCATACCAGAATAGGTCAAGTGGAAATTCAAGCTCAGCGATCATTCATCAAAATATAGTATAAAATATATAAATTTTGCAAATTCCAAACATAAATTATAGCTAATTTTGTATTTTGCAGAAAGACCAACAACATCCACTCCAGAACCTGAGGCGACACCCACACCAGAAGTTGCAGTGACAGCTCTTCCAGACCTCCGTACTTGCAGTCATACCTTGAGCAGTTCAAGTAACACTCACACATTGACATGGGAAGTGACAGAGGGCAGTAATTACATCAAGTTTACCCACACAGCAGCTGTTTCTGGTGATAAAGTCTGGGCTGCCTTTGCAATTTCTCTTGATACCTCAATGGTAAGTAATGGTAGTTTCTGCTTACATTGATACCTCTATGGTAAGTAATGGTAGTTTCTGCTTACTTTGATACCTCTATGGTAAGTAGTGGTAGTTTCTGCTTACATTGATACCTCTATGGTAAGTAGTGGTAGTTTCTGCTTACCTTGATACCTCTATAGTAAGTAATGGTAGTTTCTGCTTACCTTGATAGATCTGTAGTAAGTAATGGTAGTTTCTGTTTACATTGATCCCTCTATAGTACATTGTAAGTAATGGTAGTTTCTGCTTACCTTGATAGATCTGTAGTAAGTAATGGTAGTTTCTGTTTACATTGATACCTCTATAGTACATTGTAAGTAATGGTAGTTTCTGCTTACTTTGATACCTCTATTGTAAGTAATGGTAGTTTCTGGTTACCTGGATAGATCTGTAGTAAGTAATGGTTGTTTCTGCTTACTTTGATACCTCTATGGTAAGTAATGGTAGTTTCTGCTTACCTTGATACATCTATAGTTAGTAATGGTAGTTTCTGCTTACCTTGATACATTTTTAGTAAGTAATGGTAGTTTCTGCTTACCTTGATACATCTAAAGTAAGTAATGGTAGTTTCTGCTTACCTTGATACCTCTATAGTAAGTAATGGTAGTTTCTGCTTACCTTCATGATACATCTATGGTAAGTAATGGTAGTTTTTGCTTAACACTATGCTTTTATTGTCCTGACTGTAGGGAAACATGATTCTCTCTGAGGTTAATCATGTTTCAGAAAGGCTGAAATAATGAATAAATGAAAAACAATAGCACTAGTAGAGATGATCATGAGGTTGATGTACCTTTGCTGTCGTCTGCCTCAGTTATACAGTACTAGGTTGTGTTGGCTCTAGCCCATTTTTCTGGGGAGACTCCAAATAAGGGAAATGTGATTGGGGAAACATGAGCCTGCGAGGGTGACAATATATTTTGCTGGCTCGTCATGTGACCAGTATCATCCAATCAGACAACCTGTTATAAAGATGAAGTGTTATAAATGAATAAATGGACACCTTACACTACGAGAATAGAGTATTCTTGATTATCCCCACAGGCTAAGACCTTACTAGTTTTTGTAAACACCATTAAGGTAATTTGGTACTCTAAAACAATATTAACGATAATTTGAGTTGTTTTTTTACAGTTGTTAAAGTTTTACATGTTTATTTTCTGCTAATTTTAAATGATGGGCAAAATAAGAAAAAATATTACCGCAGTAAAAATGTTCAGATTTACGGGACTCAATTTTGCTTTAATCGGTAAAAAATGTCCTGTTTAATTTCACCTAAATTTTGTAATGCAAGTAGGTAATAGATGGTCTTCTTGACTTCGGTAATATAAAGTTTTGTTTATTTTCTAATATGCATATCCTTTCTTTTCCAGCTGAACTCGGACATGTATGTCAGTTCTATCGATTCTACTGGAAATACTCATCTGCTGGACAGGTAATACAAATAATGGACAGGTAATATAATAACAAATACTGGACAGGTAATAACAGATACTTGACAGATAAGAAAATATACTGGACAGGTAATAACAAATACTAGACAGGAAATAACATATACTGGACAGGTTATAAAATATACTGGACAGGTATTAACAGATACTGGACAGGTAATAAAACATACTGGACAGGTAATAACAGATACTGGACAGGTAATAACATATACTGGACAGGTAACAGTTATTGGACAGGTAATAACAGATACTGGACAGGCAATAACAGATACTGGACAGGTAATAACAGATACTGGACAGGCAATAACAGATACTGGACAGGTAATAACAGATACTGACAGGTACTGGACAGGTAATAACAGATACTGGACAGGAAATAACAAATACTGGACAGGTAATAAAATATACTGGACAGGTAATAAAATATACTGGACAGGTAATAAAATAAACTGGACAGGCAATAACAGATACTGGACAGGTAATAACAGATACTGGACAGGCAATAACAGATACTGGACAGGTAATAACAGATACTGGACAGATAAGAAAATATGCTGGACAGGTAATAAAAAATACTTGACAGGTAATAAAACATACTGGACAGGTAATATCAGTTATTGGACGGGTAATAAAAAATACTGGAGAAGTAATAACAGATACTGGACAGGTAATAACAGTTATTGGACAGGTAAAAAAAATACTGGAGAAGTAATAACAGATACTGGGCAGGTAATAACATATACTGGACAGGTAATAAAACATACTTGACAGGTAATAACAGATAATGGACAGGTAATAGCAGATACTGGACAGGTCATAACAGATACTGGACAGGAAATAAAACATACTGGACAGGTAATAACAGATAATGGACAGGTAATAGCAGGTACTGGACAGGTCATAACAGATACTGGACAGGTAATAACATATTCTTGACAGGAAATAATAACAGATACTGTACGGGTAATAACAGATACTGGACAGGTAATAAAACATACTGGACAGGTAATAGCAGATATCGAACAGGTCATAACAGATACCGGACAGGTAATAACAGATACTGGACAGGTAATACAGATACTGGACAGGTAATAAAACATACTGGACAGGTAATAACAGATAATGGACAGGTAATAACAGATAATGGATTGGTTATAACAGATACTTGACAGATAATAAAATACACTGGACAGGTAATAAAATATACTAGACAGGTAATAACAGATACTGGACAGGTAATAACAGATACTGGACAGGTAATAATAGATATTGACAGGTACTGGACAGGTAATAACAGATACTGGACAGGTAATAAAATAACTGGACAGGTAATAAAAAAAACCTGGACAGGCAATAACAGATACTGGACAGGTAATAACAGATACTTGACAGATAAGAAAATATGCTGGAGAAGTAATAACAGATACTGGACAGGTCATAACAGATACTGGACATGTAATAACAGATACTGGACAGGAAATAACAGATACTGGTAAAAAAAGAATCACATATACAATCCAGCATTGCGTTTGTTTCAAACTCTGGATGATTGGAGGGTGGCAGGAATAATTTAGGATTAGGTGTGACTAGATCATCATGAAGGTATTGAGGTTGCTGTATTATACATGATTGAAGGTGGCTGAATTTATGTGGGTCCATTTGATATCTGTCAGATTATTTGTTTTAAATAATCCAAATATTATGTGTTCTCATTAAATGATTGATATATAATGTCACTCTATAAAACAGTTTATATAATGTTTTTATTATCCTTTTCTCAATAGCAACACTATGAGTATGAGTTACAAGAGCCAGCCAACTTTGGATTCTAATCAAAATGTGATGAATGTCACTAGCTCTAAAACCGACTCCATGCAAACTGTTACCTTCCGGAGACTGAGAGATACGCTAGACAGCAAAGATATAGCAATTACAGAAGCAACACAATTCTACGTTTTATTTGCACATGGACCCAACTTTATCCCGGATGGACAAGGGGGGGCCAGCTACAATTATCATACTGCAAAAGAAATACACAGCCCAATGACAATCATCCCTAAGTGTGGTAAGTGCTCATCAAAGGTTCCGATTCACTGTACCGATTTCATTCCTCAACAGAATTTCATGCAACTTGATACAAGTGTTTGTTATGACCAAACTTTGAACAATTTTCATTTCAGGTTACTGCGTTACAGGTCAAGGTCACTTTTACTATATTTTAAAAAACTTTGTCATCGCTCTACCGACTTCATTCCTAAATGGAATTTCATGAACCTTGATACCAGTGTTAAGTATGAAAATATCTTGAACAAGTTTGCGTTTCAAGTTGCTGCATTAAAGGTCAGGGTCACTTTTACTATTTTTACAAAAATCTTTGTCATCGCTCTATCAACTTCATTCCTAAATGGAATTTTATGGAACTTCGAACAAGTGTTTGGTATGGCAATGCCTCGGGACAAGTTTGCATTTCCGGTTTCCATGTTCTAGGTCAAGATCACTATTACTATTTTTAGAAAAAACTTTGTCATTGCTCTAGCGACTTCATTTCCTCTACCTATGTCACAATGTGTAAATGCGAGGGGATATGTTTCACTTGTGATGCCTTGTTTTAGAATTATTTTCAAGGCCAGCCTTATTCAGATCTGGCTTATTATCAAGACTAAAGGGAATAGAATTTTGAAATTTCCTCGTTGATATTAGTTTTGCTGTTGACTGGGATATTTGAACTAAACATCAATATAAATATGTGATATTGTGTATAATTTCAGAATAGATAATCTCAAGTTAATATTTGGGGTGCTGCAAGCGTTCATCAAAATGAATAAAAAAAATATGCAGTTTCAGCAATTTTGTATTAAATTTTACCTTGGCATCGTGAGATTATGAAATTGGAAAAAATGGAATATTAATTTTTGTACCCATATTGGAAAATACCACGCACCAAGTGATAGCCTTACAATGGAGATAAATAATGCTGGAACATTTAAAGGCAGAAATTTTGAATTTGAACAAATTTGCAAAATTTGCATCACTTGTAAATAATCTCATATACAGCAGTTACACACACTGAATAGATGTGAAAGATCTTATTTTCGAACTACTATAATAATGGTCGCTCCTTAATTTTAGTATCACTAACAACTCCTCGACCTGAACCTGAAGCTACATCTGAACCTAGAGTTACGCCTGAAGTTACGTCTGAACCTGAAGTTACGCCTGAACCTGAAGTTACGCCTGAACCTGAAGTTACGTCTGAACCTGAAGTTACGTCTGAACCTGAAGTTACCTCTGAACCTGAAGTCACATCTGAACCTGAAGTTACGCCTGAACCTGAAGTTACGCCTGAACCCCCTGCACCTGAGCCACACATATGTAGAGGTCATTGGAACTGTGATCAGTGCCATCAAAATATATCTTGGGAATTCAATGTCGACACAGATGAGATTGTCTTCACAATGAGTGCTGATATTTCAAATGGGAATTATTTTGCCGCAGGAATATCAACAGATCAAATAATGGTAAGTGTGCTTTTTTATGGAATATTATTGAACAAGATTTATTAAGACAAGTAAAGGTGAACAAGTGTATATTTTTAATCACTTCTTTTCAAATGAAAAATCCATGTAAGTTAAGTTGTTTGTGTTACCTCATTCTAAATCTATTAAAACAAGGAAATGTTTCTTTCTCAACCATAAGATATAGAGTGAACATAATGTATTTTCTTCATGTGGCCTACCTATATTATCCGTTACCTAGAAAACAATCAATTCAAAGGAATTATAATGAAGAGGAACAATCTCAATACAGTATACTTATGTATACTCATTTGCACACGAGTACAGGATGAAATAAACAAGGATTATATTTCTGTATCTGATTGAGTTTGATAATAAGTAAATCTGATTAAAATCATCTGTTAGGCTTCGTTAACGATTCGTACAACTCCTCAGGCGGAGCCATGTAACAGATGATTTTAAACAGATTGATAATAAGTCTAAATAGAACTTCTGACCACTTCAATAATATTGTTGCGTACATTTTTATTAGACTACAAAATTAAACACTTTACAAATAAGTAATGGTTTCCTTTCAATTGTAGCCAAAAAGTGACATCTTCCTGGTTGAGGCCAACACCATGACAGTTACTGACAGGTACTGTGATTTCTATAGGTTTTTGGGATTATAACTCAATTTTATTCAGATTCATCAAATATGAAAAAGGTAAATTTCACTTACATGTTATGTACACTGTAAGCGAGTGAAGGTATAATTACAACAAAGTCTATTCTAATTCAAGTTCAAAATGTGAGAAAATTGTAGTTAGTGTATTTATAATGCCTGACTCTTAAGTCAAATCCAGCTTCAATCCTTAAATAACTTCCGTCAAGATATATATACACTCAAAGTTTAAATTATATCAAATAGGAAATAACACTGGGTCAGTTTTCACACCTTGGCCTGGATTCTCAAAGCTGAATCTTCTGTATATAATGAATTTTAAAATCTGTGTTCCCACAAATAGATATGCTAATATTTGATTGCATAAATATGCCCTGTCCATCATTTTATACTTAATTTTAATGTGCTAATATAGTACATTTACACTTCCTTTGTTACCCAATTTCAGATGGAATTTTTTGTACAATTGTAAATCACTCATATAATTTTTAGCTCACAAGTGCCAGTTGAGCATATAATTGTGTATTGTCCGTCATGTGTCCGTCATCAATCAACTGTTTCTTTGAACAAGTTCTTCTTAAAAACTAGATGACCTAGGGCCATGCTTTTTGGCCAGTATATATATGTAGGTACCTGGGACAGTGCTATGAAGTTTCTTCAAATAAATGACCTTGACCTACTTTCAAGGTCACCAGGGTTAAATATGTAAAAACATTTTAACAACTTCTTCTGAATAACTAGGTGGCCCAGGGTAATAATACTTGGCCAATAGGTACCTGGAACAGATTGCCATAAAGGTTACTCAAATAAATGACCTTGACTCACTTTCAAGATCACAGGGGTCAAATGTATTTAAAAACCTTTAATCATCTTCTGAAGAATAACAAGGAGGCCCAAAGTAATGATATTTGGCCAGTAGGTACCTGGGAGAGTGCTATAAAGTTTTATCAAATGAAAGACCTTGACCTACCTTCAAGGTCACAGGGGTTAAATATGTAAAAACCTTTAAAAAAATTATTCTGAATAACCAGGAGGCCTAGAGCAATGATATTTTGCCGGTAGTTACCTTGGACAGAGTTCTATAAAGTTTCCTCAAATAAATTACCTTGACCTACTTTTAAGGTCACAGGGGTTAAATATGTAAAAACCTTTAAACAACATCTTCTGAATAACCAGGAGGCCCAGAGTAATAATACTTGGCCAGTAGCTAGGTACTTGGCATGAAGTGCTATACAGTTTCCTCAAATAAATGACTTTGACCTACTTTCAAGGTCACAGGGATGAATACTTCTTCCGCAATACCAGGAGGCCCTGGATGGTGATAGTTGACCAGTAGCATGCTGGTATAGTGTAGTTGAAAGATTCATTTAGTCTTGAACATTCTTAAGCCAAGGAGACTCAATATATGGATATATTTGCAATGGTAATTTTATTAAGAATATTTTCCCATGATTGATCAAATATCCAGGTGAGCGATACAGGCCCTCTGGGCCTTATGTTGTACTTTACTACACAAACTTAATGCATGCCTGTATATTTAATTTGATAATACTTGAATCTGTGTTTGACAGGATTTCGTTTCAGCATTAAAACTTTTTATCTCGGGAGATAATATTTGTAAAAGATTAAAATTCTTGAACACTCAATGCTCATAATGCAAAATTATATTGCTAAAAATAAGTGAATTATGGTACCTTTTTATAGAATTTTTATGATAACACACCTGTTACTTTGGTTTATGATACGTACAATTAACTCTGATGTCTTTTCTTTTCACACACGAAGGTGGGCCACCACACAATCACAGCCTTTAATGGATATGCAACAAGATGACATTAGAAAGATTGATTCGTCTCGCGTTGGGACCATGTCTACTATTCGTTTTGCAAGGTTTAGAACAACAAATGACCCCAACACGGACTGGCAGTTCACAGATACTACCCGATTCTACATCTTATTCGCTCAGGGAACGTTCACCGCTCCACACACTCCTTCATATCATGGTGCCAAGCGTTACATTTCTCCATCTACTTTCAAAATAGACACCTGTGGTAAGTCAGAACCACACATTTTATAGGACTCTTTACACATTAATTGTCATTATATTTGGGATATATATATACGTGTACTGATTGTGGAAAGGTTGGTGTAATCATCCCCTGTCCCTATTATCAATGATTCTATTTCAACATTGTTATTTAGGTTGTTATTTAGAGGACACCAAACTTGTGATGAGTAAATAAATGATTAAATGTGTTTCGAGATAAGTTTGTACAGTCATGTGGTTCTTTGATAAAAAACATTTTTCAGCTAACATTCCTGTACATATGTGAACAAATACAATATGTGTTTCCTTTTAAAATTCAAATAGTCATATAAAATGTAAATGCTGGAATTTTTCATTTGGATTTTTGTCCTTGTGTCATGAGGATTTTTGTCCTGTGTCATGAGGATTTTTGTCCTTGTGTCATGAGGATTTTTGTCCT